CCATCCGCGGGATCATCCCGCGGACGGCGCAGGTGTGGGAGTACCAGCCCGCATCGTAGGCACCTCCCATCTCCAGTAGCCATGAGCTGCCTGCCAAATGGCGGTAGGCCTCTAAGCTCCTATAGTGGGAAAAAAAAAAAAAAACCAATGGATTGGCCTTCTTGTAGCAAATCGCTGACCAAGCAGTACGGACCCATCCTGGCTTTGGACTCTGTCGACTTTCAGGTCGGCGACGGCATCACCGGGCTGCTGGGCCCCAACGGGGCCGGAAAGAGCACCGCCATCAAGCTGTCGCTGGGGTTGATCCGCCTCACATCCGGCTCCGCGGAGGTCATGGGGCGTCGGCCCTACGACTCGCCGGAAGTGCGGGAGCGACTGGGCTATATGCCCGAGCACGACTGCCTGCCCCCGGCGGCCAGCGCCGCCGAGTTCCTCTCTCACATGGCCCAGGTGTCCGGTCTCCCACCGGCGCAGGCCCGTACCCGAGATGCGACATCTCCGGACACGGGGGGCGCCAGGGAGGGACCGGGAGCTCCACTGGGTGGGGGTTGGGTGGGACATTCGGGGTGGGCGTTCCGTTTGGGGCGGCGGCTCAGGTTCCTTTGGGGCTATGATTTCGGGGGCGGTGTCGTGCCGTGGGGGGGGAGAGTGTGTGCTCTTGTTGCTCTTGGGGGGGGCGGGGGTTGGGTGGCAGGTTTGGGGATGGTGTGTGGGCGGTTGGAGGCGTGTGCCAGCATTTCTGGTGGGGGTTGCGGCTGGTGGTTGGTGTGTCGTCGTCCCGTGTTGTTATGGGTGGTCAGGTGGGGCGCGGAGGACTTTGGGCGATTGGGCGGTGGGGTTGCGTGGGGGTGGTAGTTTTTGCGCTGGTGGTTTCTGTTTGCGTGGTCGGTGGGCGTCTGGTGGTTTGTGTCGCTGACGTGTTCTCATGAGTTGGGGTAAGCGGGTTGTGTCTGGCGTGGCGAGGGGGGAGGGGGCGTGGTGGTGGGGTGGTGGGGGCGGCGGCCGTGTGGGGTTTCGGCGGCTGGGCTGGCGTACGGCGCGGCACGCGCTGGTTGATTAGTGCGTCTGTGCGGTGGTTGTTTGGTGGATGGCGGTAGGGTGCTGAGGGGGTTTGGTGAGGGGGAGGGGAGTCATTGTCCGGGGGTGGGTGGTCGGTTGGTCTCCAGGGGCGGGGTGGAGGTGGCGGGGGGGTGGTGATGCGGGTGGGGCCGGGGGTGGGTTCCGGCGGCTGGTGGGGGGGGGGTGCTGGGTGCGGTGCGTGGGGCGCGTTGGGTGCTCTGGCTGGGGTGCGTCGTTAGAGGTTGCGCTTTGTGTGGTGGTCGGTGTTTTTTGGGGAGACCCCGTCGGTGGTTTCGGGGGTGGGGGAGGGAGTGTTTGGGTGGGTGATCCTGTTCTGCTTGGTGCAGGCGTTCGTTCGGGGGGCTATGGGGGTGTGGGGTTGGTTGAGGTGTGTGCCTCTGGGGGGACGTCGTGAGGGGTTGGGGTGGGGATGTGTTTGCTGTGTCCCTAGTGGGCGTGGCTGGGGGTGGGGTAGGGATTGGGTGTGTGGGGGTTTTTTAGGGGGGAGGGGTGGCCGTGGGGCTGCGGGGTGGGGGTGTGGGTTGTTGGGGGGATTGGGCGGTGGGGGGTTTTTGTTTGGGGTGTGCGGTGAGCGGTGGTCGTGTAGGAGGGGGGGGGGTGTCTGGGGTGGTTTGGGGTGGGGTGGTGTTGTTGTGTGGGGTGGTGGGGGGTGTTAGGGGTGGGGGGGGGGGGGGTGGGGGGGTTGGTTGGGGGGGCTTTGTGTGGGGGTGGGGTTGTGGGGGGTGGTGTGGTGGGGTGGGGTGGTTGTGTGGTTGGGTTTTGGTGGTGGGGGTGCGGTGTGTGGTGGCGTGGGTGTGGGGCGTTACCGCCAATGGCAGTTTCCACCGGAATGAAGCAGCGGGTGAAGCTGGGCCAGGCCCTGGTCCACGACCCGGTCCTGGTGTTGCTGGATGAGCCGACCGCCGGTCTCGACCCCGCCGGGCGCGAGGACATGCTGCGGCTGGTGCGCCGCACCGGGCGGGAGTTCGGCATCAGCATCATCCTCTCCTCCCAACTGATGAACGATGTCGAGAGCACCTGCGACCGTATCATCGTCCTGGAGGGCGGGCACAGGTTACGAGCAGGGGACGGTCGCCGGGTTCACCGCCGATACCGAGGTGATCGTCCTCGACGTTGATGACAAGCGGGAGGAAGGTCGCCACCGCGCTGGCCGCCAGGGAATAATCGCGACCCTGGAAGGGCCGTCAATGACAGTCGCAATCCAGTCCGAGGAACAGTACGACGACATACGGGACTCGGTGGCGGAAGCAGGGGCGCGCCTGCGCCGTATGAGTCCGCGCCGCCGCCAGCTCGCCGAAGTCTTCCGGGCGGCCCGATGACCGGTCCGACAAACAGACAGACCGGCGCCGAGGTCTTCGATCTTGGCTACCGGCACTACGAGGGTCTCCGGGAAGGGAGGGCAAGAGCCCGCCGGGCGATATATGTCAACGGGCTGCGTACGACACTGGGCATCGGCCGGAGCACGATTCCCAAAGGTGCTTGCCATCTTGATGTTTGCGCCGCGATGGTGCCCGCCGTGATCATGGCGGTGGTGGTGTCCCTGTTCGAGCCTGTGGCCGACGCCCTGCCCTCCATGCCGACTACTATGAACTGGTCTCGCTGGTCCTGTTCCTGTTCGCCGCCATCATCGGGCCGGAACTGCTGTGCCCCGACCGTCGCGACGGCGTCATTCACCTCTACCTGGTTCGCCCCATCACGCCCACCGACTATGTCGCCGCTCGCTGGCTGGCGTTGTTTACGGTGACCATCGCCTTGCGTGTACTCGGGACAACTGGTGCTCTGGATGGGCTGGTGCTGTCAGCGTCCGATCCCGCGGAGTACCTCCGACAGAACTGGCTGGACATTCCGCGCATCCTGGGCGCGGGGCTGGTGGTGGCGTGTTCCTGGCCACGGCGCCGCTGGCGGTGGCGCGTTCACCGAACGGCGGGCCTACGCCGCCGCCTTCGTGATCGGTCTGTTCATCATCAGCGCCACGGTTCCGGCGCGCTCACCGCCTGCACCGAATCGGGCGGATCCGGCCAGTGCGAGCAGCGGGTCACCGGCGGAGCGGCGAAGTGGCTGTCGCTGGTCAGCGTGGGAGAGGCGCCCACCAGGGTCAACGACATCATATTCGGCAAGGACGACCCCGGTTTTGGCAACGACCCAGGCGCGACGTTTCCAACGAACTCCCGCGTCCCGTGCCGGTGCTATGGTACGCCCTGCTGACCTGCGGCCTCGGTGTCCTGCTCTGGAGACGCTACGAAAGGATAGCCGCTTGAGTGCGTCCGGGAGCGGTGATCGAAGTCGACAACGTCTCCAAGTGGTACGGCGACGTGGTGGCGGTGAATGGCATCTCGGTGCAGGTGTTTCCCGGCATCACCGGGCTGCTCGGCCCCAACGGCGCGGGCAAGACCACGCTGCTGCACCTGATCACCGGGCTGGCCGCCTGCTCCGAAGGGTCGGTCACGGTGCTGGGAGAGCCTTCGCGGAACAACCCCGAGCTGTACCGGCGGGTAGGGGTGATGACCGAGAAAGAGGGGGTCTACGGCTTCCTCACCGGGCGGCAGTTCCTCGAATCCACGGCGAAGATGCACGGCCTGTCCTCCGTCGCCCCGGCGGTGGACCGGGCGCTGGAGATCGTCGGGATGGCCGACGCGCAGTCCGCCGCCTCGGCGGCTACTCCCGCGGGATGCGCCAGCGATGCGTCTGGCGGCGGCAATGCGTGCACGACCCCGAGGTGCTGGTACTCGACGAACCGCTGAGCGGCACCGACCCCCGGCAGCGCCTGGAGTTTCACGCCGCAATGGTCCGCTTCGCCGAACAGGGCCGCACCGTGCTGGTGTCGTCCCACATCCTGGAGGAGTCGAGCTGCTGGCGGACCGCATCGTGCTGATGGTCAGCGGCAAGCTCGCCGCCGCCGGCGACATACGGGCCATCCGGGAGAAGCTGGACGAGCAGGCTTACCACGTGAGGATTGTGACCGATTCACGCCCGCCCGCTGGCGCGGCCCTGGTGAACCTGGATGAGTCGATTCGGTGAACCTCGGCTCGGACAGCGACCTGGTCGTTCTGAGCAGGAACGTCGGCTGTGCTGCAGGAGGCAATCCCCCGACTGGCCCGGGAGTTGGGGCGCGCGTATCTTCCGGGTTGAACCGCTGGACGAGTCGCTGGAGAGCATCTTCGGCTACGTGGTAGAGCGCTAGATGAAGGAGGTGTTCCTGCTCTCCATCCGGCAGTTGACCGGCCCGGTCCGGCTGGGCCTGATTCTGCTACTCTCCGCCCTGCCAGTCGGACTGGCCGCGATACTCGCCGTGACCGCGGGCGGGGAAGGAGTCGGACGAGACGACTTCGTAAATGTCATGCTGAGCGGGATTGCTGGTCGCCGGAGTCCTTCCATCGTCGTCATGACCCTGGGCACCGCCGCCTTTGGCAACGAACTGGAGGACGGTACTTGGGCAACTTGGCGCTCATGCCGCTGGCCCGCTGGCAGATCGTCCTGCCCAAGCTGCTCGCCACACTACCATCTCCGTCCCAATTATCATCGTCAGCGGAGTGGTGACGTCTCTCATCGGAATCGGTTTGAAGTGCGGGCCACCCTCTCGGTTGCCGTCGCCCTGCTGCTGGGCGTTGCGGCGTACTCGGCCATCTTCACCTGGACCGGTCTGATGACCGGAAGGGCACTGGCGGTGGCCCTGCTGTACGTCATCCTCTGGGAGGGCGTCATCGGCTCGCTCATCGAGGGAGTGGGCTACCTCAGCGTCGGGATACACCACTGGCCATAATGCACGGGCGGACTCTCGCCTTCGAGGCTGTCGGCGACACGGGTGATCTCGCTCACCCGTCGGCCCAGTGGTGGGCGAGCTGCTGGTGACCGCCGTGTTCTACGGGCTGGCGGTGTGGCGGCTGACCCGCATGGAGTGCCCTGACATTGCAGCTGCAAGTTGGGGGGCGGCTCCGGCGCATGTCTACCCGATTTCTACGGCGGCTGTCATGGCTTGAGTTTACCTGCCCCAGCAGCGTATGGCTGGGCATCAAATTCGCGCAGCATGCTTTCCGGCCATGTAGAGCACGGATACCTTCGAGATTCCGGTCATGCCTTCGGCGCGCAGGGCTTTGGCGATTGAGTTGACCTGCAGAAATTCCATACAGTGACGGGAGAATCTCATCGCCGCCAGTGGCAGCGGCACCCGGCAAGCCCCACTTGTACCGGGGCCTGGCCACCTGTCAACAGGGGATGTAGGTGGACTTTACCTCCTCAGCAGCACTGGCCCAGGAGCTGGACGTTTCCTGCACGGGTTCCCGGTGTTACCTCGGGCCAGGTAGTCCGGGAAGCACCAGAGGTCCCACCAACTATCTGGAGTCTATCCTATGGGGCTCAGAGGGTGTGTGACAAATGGGTTCAGGTGGGTTGGAGCCGTTTGAGCATCAGGTTGACCATGGCGATGTGCACCCACGCTTCGCTGCTCTCGGTGCGCTCCTCGTAGTCCTTGCTCAACCGTCGGCACCGGCCCAGCCAAGCCAAGCCAAGGTTCTTTCCACCACCCAGCGCCGGGGCAGCGCCTCAAAGCTATGGCTGTCCTTGGGACGCGGCACGATCCCCAAACCCAACCGAAGCGAGAGGCCACCCAGTCGGCCAATTGCCCCCGGTAGCCGCCGTCAGCCCAAATCAGCCGCAGGCTGGGGAACCGTCCGGCCAATTTGGTGAGAACCAGCCTGGCCCCGTCCCGGTCCTGGATGCTGCCCGGGTGGACCGCCACCGCCAGCAACAACTTCATGGTATCTACGATGATATGCCGCTTCCTTCCGGAGACCCTCTTGCCCGCATCGTAGCCGCGCGGCCCCCTTTTTCTGCGCTCGTCACGCTCTGCTGTCGATGATGGCCGCGCTGGGAGCGGAATTTCGGTCTTCGGCTTCCCTGACCATGGGCGGAGCAGCTTCATGGCTCGTTCCAGGTCCCAGTCCACGAAAAAAGGGGAAGTATTAACAAACAGCGTTAGACGAAGGAAAGTGACGACAAAGGCGCGAGTAAAAGAGCGATGAATAGAAGTGCATATGAGAGGTTGGGGCACAAAAAGCACATAGCAAACAAGAAACCAGGAGATAAAACACGCGGGCGCGGCCGGCCCGCAGCACGCACAAAATGCCATTGACCACCTCCCGCAGGTCCACGCTCTGCGGCCGTCCTCCGGGCTTGGCTGGCGGAAGCAGCGGAAACCGAATATCCCATTGTTCATCGGTCAGGTCGCTGGGGTATGGCTTGCGATTCATGCAGGCAGTTTCGGCGAACCGCTATACTTTGGAAACACCCTCTGGAAAGACAAGAGCGGAAGATGGAAGCAAATACAATGAGAGCCATTGTTCGAAACAAGTATGGTTCGGTTGACGTGCTGAGGCTTGAGGATGTTCCGAAGCCGGTTGCCAAGGATGACGAGGTTCTGGTGAAGGTTCAAGCGGCATCAGTGAACCCGGCGGACTGGCGGGTTATGAGAGCCGATCCGGTCCTGATCCGGCTGATGGGCATGGGGTTGCTACGGCCCAAGACAGATACTAAACAAGCCAAGGTGAAAGGCAGAGACAGTGGACTAAACCAAAGCCAAGGTGAAAAGCGCAGAGACATGGGATAAATTTGTGGAGGAACGGGGTTACCTTATCTGGGAAAGAGCGTGGGGTAGTGATGGGTGTGAGAGATATGGACCAGTTTCTCGAACGATGGGAGATGGATGTGCCGGGCGTGCGCCGGCGGATGATTCTGGCGCCGGTGCCCCGGGAGCGGGAACGGTGGTACGCTCTGTGGCTTCTGACCCAAGGCTGGACCGCTCAGGCTACCGCCGAGGCACTGGAACGGGACCCCCACACCATTGGACGGTGGTTGGCCGCCTTCGGCGAGGGTGGGCCCACAGCCTTGATATTCGAGCAGTCCGGTGGTGCCCCCCCGCCCTCGAAGCGGCGCAGCAGGCGGCGCTGAAAGGGGCGGTGCAGGAGTTGCCCGCCAACTCAGGCATGGAACTGGCCAACTGGAACTGGAAAGTGGTCTGCCAGTACGTCTCCGAGCGCTTCGGTATCAGCCTGAGCCGCAGCACCTGCCTCAACTATCTGCGCCGGCTGGGATTCTCCTTCAAACGCCCCAAGAAACGGCTGCTCAAGGCTGATGTGGAGAAACGGGAGGTCTTCGTGGCGGAGTACGCCGCCCTGTCGGACGAGGCGCGGTGGTCTGGGGCCAAGATATTCTTCGCTGACGAGGCCCACTTTCGTGCGGACGCCGAACTGCGGGGCAAGTGGGTGTTGCGTGGAGAGCCGGCCTTGGTGGACTCGAGCAGCCCGCGCTATGGCGAAAAGGCCAGCTACTATTCGGCGGTGTGCCTGGAGACCGGCGAGGTGGAATGGATGGAACTGGAGGGGAACAGCAACTCAGGAACATCGGCAGCCTTCCTGGGACAGTTGCGGGAGAGGCACAGCGGTCGTCTGAACGTGATCTGGGACAACGCGCCGGCCCACCGGGGCGAGGCGGTGAGGGAGTACCTGCGGACGCCGGGTCTGAACCTGCGGCTGTTTAACCTGCCGGGTTACAGTCCGGACTTCAATGCCGATGAGGCAGTCTGGGGCTGGGCTAGGGAGGAGGCGACCGGGAACCTATGCTTGGGGACCAAGGTCAAGGTGCAGGAGCGGGTCGGCAGCTTCCTCGTTGGTCTGGCCAACCGGAAAGAGGAGGTAAAACGCCGCTGCCGCACCGTCTTGCAATCAAGGGCCAGCGCCCTGCCGCGGGACTCCCACTCCAACTCTCAACACCCCGGACATGCACATCCCACCTTGGCTTTGGTTTAGGTACGGGTACCACGTCAAGGCCAAGAACGCTCACGGCCCGAATGATGTGTCCAACTTCGCCCGGATCGACACCTGACTCCTCTCCGAGAGCACTGCCAGCGCCACGTCCACGGTCCATACCGAACGACACAACAGCACCCTGAAACACTGCACATCACCATGGCGGGCGCACGATGCGCAGGCGCTACTCACGCTTTACGGCGCGCCTGACTGTCGCAGTCGATACGCCGAAGGACCTGGCGACGCGCCGCTGGCTGACTCCGCTGGCTACCATCTCGATAACGGCGGCCTCCTGCTCCTCTGACAACCGGCGAGGAGCGCCCAGTTTCTTGCCGTCCGCCTTCGCCTTCTCCAAACCCGCCTTGGTACGGCGGCGGATGGAGACCAGTTCCTGGTCGGACACCCAGGCGGCGAAACCGGCCAGGGTATAGCCCAAAAACGACTCCGGCGATCGGGGTCGGCATCCAGGTACTGGGCCCAGGACTGTTCGTTGTCGGCCAGGCTGCGAATCCTCACCCCGCGCCGTTGAAGGTCGTGGATGTTCCCCATCGTGTCCAGCCAGCGCCGCCCGATGCGGTCGATGGAGACCACAACCAAGGTGTCGGCTTGAGCCAGCCGGGAGTCCAGAGAGTGCCAGCCCAGCCGGCTGTTGGTCCCGGAGGTCCCGGAGACGCCGACGTCCTGAAAGATGTGAGAAAGCGCCACGCCGGCGGCCTGCAACTGCTGGCGTTGTGTTTCCGGGTCGCTGCCCGACAACTCGGAGACTCTCGGGCGGCTGGTGCTGATGACTGGGAACGCCGGCGTGAGGCCGGGGTGCCTGAGAGTGTCGGCTTTCGGACCAAGCCGCAACTGGCCAGGCTCATGCTGGAGCGGGCGGTGGAGTCGGGAGTCCCCTTCGCCTGGGTGGCCGGGGACGAGGTCTACGGCAACGACCGCAACCT